TGGCTGTTTGTTGCTTACGGCACTTGCACTTTCTCGCCTCCCAAATGGGGGAATTGAATGAAGCGCCGTGGTTTTTCACGAGAAGTGATTTCTTTGTGATGCACTGCAGTGGTGCAGTCAGAGCTAGCTACTCAAGGCCTGAATTGCTTTCTTCTGCAACGCATTTCTTCCCAACACTGTGAATAGATTGGATGGACATAGAAGCACTCCTCCATCGTCACTTATGGCGACCTCCTGGATGAGGTCAGTGATCATCTTACGATGAGGTCACCCCATTCTCATCAACAAGGCCCCATTCCTTAAAACGAAACGAAAGGAACCACTTTTTCATGTGGCCCTGCCGATCCCATTCCTCGAAACGAAACAAAAAGAACCCATGTCACCCCGTCGCCTGGTCCATTTGTGGCGCTCAGTCAGGATTGCTCCGCATCGGCAAGCTGGCCAGAGCCCTTCGACTCGTAACTCTCTCCAATACCCTGGGAGCATTGGAGTTGCTCACCAAATGTTTCTGGGCAGCAATAGCAAGTCCATGACGACCTGCCCCACTAAATGCATTTTTTTGGAGAATTGTTTGCTTTAAACTGATTCGGTGGAACTAGTCAACAACTTGGTTTTACAGGCTGCAATGGTTTGTTGCCAATTTCAGTCCTGCACAATCTCCACTGAAGAGCATGAGACTTCTGAACAATCTCCACTGTTAGCCGTTGGGCAAGATGTTTTGGGTTGGGCTTTCCTTGCTCCCCAAGGGCGTGCCTACGATGAACTCTCTAAGGCTTGATGGCCAGCGTCGACATGCTCTTCTGGACTTTCTGCTTGCTCGTACTTAGACGTGATCATTGATTGTCCACCTGATTTTTTCAGGTGTCAGAAAGGTTTGGGCGCAAGATGTAACATAAGATATATACTGCGTCCAGGTTGTGTCATGCACCGTGCAGACAAGAAAAACACTGGGTTTCAAGTAGCCCTGGATCGTACCATAATGAATCATAGAACCACAACCTTTCCACCTAGAATTCAGCAGTGCAGCCATGCTGGTTGATTGGGTGATGTTGCTTCCTTTGGGTCCGTCATGCCCCGCGCGTGGAGTTCGCAGGCTTCGAGCCAGCCAGCGGGCGAGTTTGAACGACTCGCCAGCCAAGTTCACTCAATGTGCGTGCACATGGGGGGAGCAACAACTTATGGGTGAAGTAAATGATAGGATGATGATAACAAGTTCAAGAAAGAAAGAGGGAATGGTTGCTCGCATCAGAGTGCTACTGAATTCACTCAACGCTCGTTCTTCCCGGGTGGCGTTTGGGAGGTCAAACCCGCATCCCTGTGCCAAGGCATGCGTCCAATGCGTGGCTGGGATGTTGGTGAGTGGCTTGTGCCGGGAGTTCCATGGCCAACCGAGCGTCGGGCGTTCGGCGACAGTTCCGGTTCCGGATGGGTTTGTTGATGTGGCACGGTTTTTCTCAGGCTCCTATATACTCCAAGGAGTACTCCAAGGTAGTCTTTTGTATGAATCAAAGGATCCCCTCATGTGGAGTGTTCAAAGGACCCCCTCATGTGGAGTGTCAAACCTTTTCTTCACAGCGTTTTTCTGTTGCGTTTTTTTTTACTAGTCAGTCTGCAGTCTGGAAACCGGCGGGGGTTGTTTTGGCCCCCCCAAAATGCTCTGCCAAAATCCTTACGGGAGATTTTTCTGAACGGCCGCGATCGGCTCAAGGTCTTTGTGTGTCTCACCGCTCTGTGACTGAACCGCGTGGGAGGTGGACATGGATTCGCTCAAACTCCACCGGATGCAGCTGATCAAAAGACATGATACATAAATATATTAATATATGCAAAACAAAGTTGAGAAAACAGTATTGATTCAGGTTATGTTGTTGCTTCCCTATGCTTGTCGCCTTCTGGGGAATGTCTTTTACCCCTTTCCCGACTCAGCAAATCCAATCCATTTGGATTCTCATCTCCCATATCCATGTTAGACTCAGCTTACTAACCCAGACACTCCAAGTATGCCATATATGCCTACATTGGGGTGGTTTGGGAGGTCAATGTAGGCATATATGATCATATATGGCAGTCCCATGGAGTGTATGGGTAAGAAACAAACAACACGAGACCCGTCACCTTACGTCTCCGAGACTCGACTCCCCGAGACTGAAGGTTCATTGAGCAGACCGAGAATGACCCGCAGTATCGAGAAGAGGTCTACAGATACTATGGGACACTATGGAGAAAGCACGAGATCGATGAGGGATGTCATGAAGAGAAGCTGTTAGGCTGTTGGATGAAAAAGCCTGTACCGTATGTGACCGTGCAATGTTAAACCCCCGCTGTGGTTTGGGGCGATGTTTCGTCGTTGATATGGTTCTCCTGTCCTCACGGGTGGGTTTTGTGATAGGGCGTGTTCCAATTGAAAGGAGTTAATGGAATTAGACATGGATTTCTTCGCTGAGTTGGGCTCGTCATTCAAGCAGAGGAAGAGGTAGTTACTTGATTCTTTGGAATGTAGTGTAATAACACCTCGGTTTGCAAGTATTTTCTTTTTTTTGAAATGCGGCCGGTCATGAATACACAGTTTGTTTTTTGCCCTGTGAGGTGTTTGTTTCGGCTTTGTTTTTTGGCATGAATGCCATGATGGACTCAATTCTCCGTCAGATTTCCTTTCTTTCTGGCTAAGGACCTTTTCGCGCACATTTTTATCCATGCCTCTCAGCAAGCCCAAAGCATTTTTTGTGATTCTTGGTGTTTCCCAATGTTTTGTGTAGATGAATTTTCCGGTGTCAAAGTGGGGGCAGATGACTTCCCCATGATCCGGATCATAAGCTCGTCATCCAGCTTAACATGTCCCTAGGGCTCCAACTATATCCTCAAAAGGTGGTTAGACCCCCCAAACCTACCCCAACCACCTTCTCAGGAGGTGGTTGGAGCCCTAGGGTGTGTGCGTGGTCTTTTCTTTTTACGACGGCCACCGCGCGGCAGGTTTGAGATTTTGTTTGCGAACTGGGGCCCTCCATGCCGAGTGCTGGTGGAGAACGTGAGCGAATGGTTTTCACTCTTCTTCCTCCTTTACCGTCAGGAAACCCAGTCTTCTTCCAGAGCGTGTTTTTCCTGCCGACATGCAAAGCTTGATGGCCCAGGCTTTGTCAAGCAAATTCCATGCCATGCCGGTTTCGGCCCGCGGCGTTTTTAGTGAGGGTGAGCTTTTAGTGGGTCAGTGATGTTTATTCAAAGCTATTCACTGCATATTGAAGTTTCGGTTGTGATTGCGAACAGCATGCTGTTGCATTGTGGGAGTTGAGGGTGGGCAGGTGATTGACGTTCGTTGGGGTTGCTAAGAAGCAGATGTTGCATCATGCGTGGTATGTACAGTGGACAACGGGCTGGGAAGCTGTGGACAACGGCATCGACGCTAGTTTTGCACTGACAGGATCATGATGTTGCAAACAGGATGCTGGTCGTTTCGTTTTCAACGGGCCATGCCGTATGTGCCGTGCAGTTGAATCTTTTGACCGGGGTCGTCCGTCCAAATCTCGCCACGGTTTTGGTGGTCTTGGCGGTCCGCGAATGGCGAGCCGCCGAGGATTCGAAGGTGTGAAATGAAGCAAGCAGCAACAAGAACAAGACTTTGTACATACTTTACCACGTACTATAAACATTATAAACCTATTAGCTTGCACTAGTCACTATCACGAATACAATCAAAAGCGGTCACAACAACCAAAACCTTGTTACAATGACATTGTACTTCAAGTGATCCAAGCCTGGAAAGGTGATTTGGAAGAAGGCTGGGCATATGAATTAACATCCAGGCAAACGACCAGCCCAAGTGCCCAACATGTGAGCTGGCCTTTTACTAATGGATATACTTGAGGTTTCTTCCCTGGCTATCCGTGACATATGCTCTGACAAGTGTTTTGGCATGCATTCTGACACACATTGGCCATGTAGACAAATCAACTAGAAAAAACAACAAGGGCGACGCCAAAGTTCAGCCAAGAACTGCTCACCAGCAATCCACCAGAACTAATTCTAGGGCTCTGTGTTGTGAACCTCCAAGTGCGCATAGTGTTGTGATATGTTGCGACTATGTTGTAACATGTGCATTAACGTGGTAATTATGGCATGTGTTCTATATTGTTCTGACATTTGTTCTGGAGTTATGCCCGCATCAACTCTTGCATCGACCAAATGTGAGATCTCGGCGGCTCGCCACGTCGAAGAGGCTGCTCGCTGTCGCGGTTCCGGCTGTTGTGTGTCAAGAAGGGTTCCGGCGTTTGTTGTATGTTTTGTTTTGTTATTGTGTTATTGTTCAGTGTCCGGCTTTTGTGTGTCATTGTTCCATGTGTGTTTTTTTTGTGTGTTTTCTTTTTTCAATAAGCTAGTGCGACATGGAACAAATATATTGATGGCCGGCGTGGTCAAGCATCACGCTGCTGAAGCTGGTCGTTCGTCACTGAGGTTGTGTGGTTGGCTTTGCCCTTTTGAACGTTGTGCCTCAGCGGAAAAATATACGTACGATAGTTTTCGGGTGCTGGCCCTGTGTATGATTGTGTTGTTGTATGTTTTTGTTTTTTGAATTAACTGCCCCTTCAGACACCTCAAAAAAGCGCTCACCTATCAACATCATTCCGTGCAGCAAAGGTGAACGCAGTGTTCGTCCAGCAGACTATGCAACCAGCTTGCACGTTTAGTGACTGGGGGGTTGTATATGTGTATCACACATTAAATGAGCAATCATTTAGGATGTTCACATACAGTCCACACATGATTCATCCAATTGAAACGCACTTTTGGCCTAGAATCCATTTGATCCCCCGTTTGGTGGAAAACGACTGCTTTGAACCAGGCGGCTCAGGTTCCAGGTTGGAAAGGTCTCGGATGGTCACTGATCCCAAGGCTGTTGCCAGGCCGGTTTGGATTCTATTTGACAATTGTTTGTGTTTGTCTGAACTTGCCCGTAACAGTCAGTCAACAAGAAGCGATCTAGTTTAGAGATGTCGGCCAACCAGGCCCAGGCCCCATCATCATCCATTGGGCCCTGCATGGTAGTAGGATAGACATGGATAGACCCAAACCATTGTTGTGTCCATCCAGCCAGGTACCTGTAATGTTTGTTTGCGTATAGACTATAGGCTATACAAGTCTTTGTTTGAGAGGGTGGCTTGGTTGGTCGGGCATCGTTGGTCGGGCATCGTTGGTCGGTCAACTAAGTAGGTTGGTTGATTGGTTGGTCACACAAGACTAGAAGCTTGAACTGAGCATCTGGAGATGCGATCTACCATGATCTACCAACCAGGATCGGAAGCGCATTGCTCCACGTGTGATTTGCTGACATGGAAAGACCTGCCTAGGTCCTAGGGCCACCCAGTGCGCCTCCAAGATCACCACCCCCCTCTCGGCATCAGTATGTACTCAGGAAAACTGCCAGTTCAGATGAAGAGCTGGCTTTCAAGCAGAAAGAGCGGGACGTGGCGTTGTATACTCGCAAGGTCCGAAAGCTTTTTCAATCCATGGATGTCCCTTGGCGGCAGCTGAGACCTTCGGTAGCTGCGGTAGCATGCAGTAGCTTCATGCTTCCAGCTTTGTGGAGCTCGAGCGCGGTGAACAAGCACAGCTGACACCTCCAGAAAACCATAGAAAACCCATTGTTTCAACATGACAGGGAGAACTTAGTCGGGAATATGACGAGGGCGGAGCATGTTGGTGAGGGTAGTGACTTCGTGCAGTGGGCTTCCACACTGCCACCAGCAACCTTAGCCATGTGGCATTGATTTGCATGCTGCTGTGGCATGAGGACAGTGGAGATGGGGCATTGAATTTGGAAGAGTTTCTTTGACGATGATGAGGGTGGGCCAGGGTTGGATAAGACTTGGCAAGTCCAGGATCGCAGGAAAAACCACTTGCAAGTGAAGTGATCAAGAGTGTTCATTGGCAATGCACCTGTTCGATAAGTTAAGCTGATTGCTTTGATTGTGAGGACCAACTGAAATCTAAAGTAAACCCAATTGAGCTGTCATGACTTGTTTGGATGTGCCTCAGATAGAATCTGCTTTGCATCGGAGGATTCCACACGTTGATAGCGGTTTTGATTCCTCCATCCCAGTCCATTCCCCCCGACCTTGGACAAAACGACCTCCCCGAAAGAAACAAAAACTTGGCGATTTGCGCGAAGTCACCGAGGTTTGCCAAGCTGGCGAATTCGCCCAAACTGAAGTTCTGGATGAGCCAGCTGGAGTTGGAGTATCATGACGGGCTTGTCGATGTGCTAGTCGATGACTCGGCGAGTTCTGACGTCCACGGTGATACACAATCCACCAGAAATCACAGCCTTAGGAGTTTCGTGGAGTTTCTGAGTAGTTTGAGGTGCTCCCTGTTTTTTCTTGTTGGCCTGTTCTGAAGACTTATAATATATAATTCTATCTAATCTATCTATCTATCTAGCTATCTAGCTATCCTATCTATCCATCCATCTATCTGTTTGTCTGTTTGTCTGTCTGTCTATCTATACATCAGCGTGGACTCACTGCATATGCTCACGTGCCCACACAAGCGACCACTTTGCAGCCACGGGGAGGACCTCTTGAGCCTTTTTGAATTCTTGGACAACGGCAGCTCGCTTGGCCTTTGGCAGCTTTTGGGCGTTTGGGGTTTGACACTTTTGTCAACATGGCTTTCATTTAGCAACACGGATGTACAGGTTACACCAGATTATTTTTTTCGCTACTATATCATGTCGGGGATCCACTTCTTTGATTGTTAGAGAAAGGGTAAGCCGTTCTTTTGCCCAGTTCTTTGCCACATGAGGTGATGGCCAGATCACCTTGGCAGAGCCACTCGGCCGTCCACTCGCTTTCGATCATCTTCGGAAACTCGCCACGTGGGGGACGATCCCCCAGCAACATCAAGTGGTTTTTGCTATGGTGTTTGCTATGTTTTGCTATGGTTTTTGCTATGTTTTGCTCCACGTGTTTTACAGCCCTAAAGCTCGAGTCCTTCGACCTTCGGACTCCGAAACTCGACGACCTCTCGTCCCTTTTCTCACGTCGCCGACTGGTTTGGTCTCACGTCGCTCACGTGGACCGACCGGCGTGGGTCGAAACGGAACAACCACCGCCGAGGTTCATTGATGGCGCCGGACGCCTGAAAGGCAGCGCCAAGGCGATCGACGTGTGGCGGCTGGAGACCAAGGTCGAGGCGCCGATGGAAAGCACCGGTGGCGGTCGATCGATCCGTGAGACTGGTCTATTCAATATTATATTGGGAGGTGCTTGTTTTTTGGGGGGGCCGGAGACTGTTGGCATATATATATGGATATATGTTCATCATATCATTCCAACAATATGGATGACTGCGGATGGTTTGGAAACACATTGCTGCGTGTCCAAAACCCGCTCCAAAGCTTGAGTTGTGTTTCTGTTGGCCATATTTTGCAATTACAGGTTTCAGAGTAACTATATAGATGGCACAATTTCCCCAACAGGTGGTTTAGATGGACCCCTATATATACAAGACATGTTGGGGTGCCAGTGCCATCTACTCCTTCAACCACTGTATTTGACTGGTCACCCAACGGGGTGATGTTCTCAGACCCGTGTCACCGCCCGACATGGCGGATTCGCCTTCACGTCGCAAGGGAGACAGGGGGAAGATGTGCGGATTTGATCCGTTGTTCATTTGGTCAGTCATGCATATCACACATATCTCATAATTACCTTTCGACCGTTTTTCGGGAACTTACATTTGTTGCCATCTCTCGCATCTGCTTGGCTCTCAACAAAGAAAGATAAGAAAGTCTTGATACTGGCATTTATCACGGAAAGATCCTCCCTTCTTCGTCCATGCATGTTGACAATAATGAGTCAATGAGATTGAATTGCCATCGCATTTCTGGATAATGACTTGCGGCGTTTTGCAACCAAGAGACACTTCCAGAATAATCATGGAAGTGGACTGGAAGACAGTTTTCCTTTACTTCCATGATGTCAGTATTCCTCGCAAAAGTGTTTGTTTGCTCAGGTTGGTTTCGCCTTAAAAGGCCAGAGACAGTTCACTTTTCTGAGGGGATGCGTTCAAGGAGACTTTGACTTTGAGACCTGTTGTTTTCACATTTGCCATTCTATCCCTTGCTCACCCTGCTGGTGCCAGCAATCGAGTTTTGCGCCATGGGCTTAGCAGACAGTTCGGACTATGAGGAACTATTGGATCGACAGGCCCCGTCTGGATCAAAACGGCCGAAGACGGGAGCCGCGTTGATTGTGGCCTCAGCCGTTTTTTGCTGCCTGACGACCCCCACGCGAAAACTTCTGAGTAAAGTTTTTGTCAGTTCTGGCTTGCCATGCTTCGCACTTTATTGGAAATTGACTTGAGGGCTGTATGTTGGCCCGAGCCTGAGCAATCTTTTGTTTTTGCTATTATGTATGTACAGATTGGTAGTCAGATTGGTAGTAGGTTGAGAGTAGATGACACAATCATCAAAAGGTGGTGTATATGGATCTCCATTTACAGGACATCGAGAGGGGTGCCAGTTCCATCTACTTCTTCAACCACTTCTTCACCGAGGAACACGGGGCTCGCGTTTGGCTTCAGCGCGCTGGTGCCATCATTGCTCAATGTGGGCGCTTTCCATGCACACTGCGAAGACTTGAGACAGCAGGTTTGTGTTGCACAGATCTCGTGCTCCCTGTTCTGTTCGACCAGAAACTTGTACGACTTCTTGTTCCCCTCCTTTGAAAGAGTAGGGCAGGGAACAACAGCAATCAATCCCTATGTTCTACCTTCCACTTTCATGCTGTTTGGCAGAAGGTTGCCTTCTTATTGCGCAACAACCGTGCCGTTGGCTTCAGCGAAGAAACCAACGGCGCAACATGGGAAACAAATTAGAACCTCCTCATCAAAGGCTCTAAACCAGCTTGTTGCACCACCTTGAACCTTGGGTAGGGATAGGCGCCCCTACAATGCCTCAACCTTGCCTCAGCAGAGGCTTGACTGGAATGTTTGCCGCGACCACCTCGTTGTTGCTTGGCGTATTAATCTTCCAAGCTAGGGTGGGCCTTTTACTTGATGGCAGTTGTGAACAGCTGTGCGGAAAGGCGGCGGTGTGCGTGTAATTAATGCTTTGAACTGTGTCGAGTTGAAGGTTGCGGTGTTATAAGGCGCAGCGTCTTTGATCTACCCTACTGCTGCTATACTATAGTGGGCAGTATCCTGCAAGAAGTTTCTTTTGCGAACACATGGTGTCAGTATGTGTGAGTGACATGCTAGTTAAACTGCGTATGCTCAGAAGCTTTGCAGTTTAAACATCTCACACGTATGCTCGATCTCAGTCTTATTTAAACTTAAAGCCAACAGCATTGACCCAAAAGCTTAAAGCTTTGCAGTCTTTCTTAAAACTTAAAGCCCCAAGACGCTTTTGAGGCTCAACATTGCTGCCCTACCCTCTGGAGCATTTCTGGATCGCTACGGTCCCCGAGCCACTGGAATGTTCTTTTGTACGCTGATTGCTTTGGGCTGCCTGGTCTTTGCCGAAGGCCCGCACCACGAGCTGGCCTATGTTGCAGGCGGGACATGCAGCCAGATGAGGGTGCCAAAAGGTGATTTTGAAGCTCTCCAAATTGAAGGAAACCATAGGAAACCCACTCAAGCTTATATGGGTGTGCAATGGTGTGCATTTTCATAGGGAGACACCCTGGCCCTCGCTGGGCAGACGGGTCGATATCGTTCTTCTTCCACGGGGTCGTTGCTTGGGAGGGTCTCCCTATTTTAATGCACACCCATATGGCTACCTTGGCTGACCTACCTGAAAGGTTGAACCACATGGTTACATGTTGTTGGGCTCTAGATTTGGACCCTTCCCCACATGGAACCACATGGTCATGATGTCACTGCTCGGGTGTAGAACTGTGTAGAGTCAACACGTTTGACCCGGGATGGTTCCTTATTTCAGGGCACAGCTCAAGCTGGCTATGCACCAGCTGCTACTGTTTTTGGGCCTTTCTGGAACCAACTCCCCCAGCTGCAGCTGAACCTGGACGTACATGACCGTCCTCAAGCCACAGAGGTTTATTGAAAGATATTGAAAGGAGCAGCAGTAAACTCCAAAGAAGGTGGACAATGATGCTCGGAAACCACTACGGTTCATGTGGTCCTGTTCTCTTTTGAAAGGATTTAGGATTATATACGCTATACGTAGATGAAGCCATTGGCAAGGAATCCATACTTCACAGCATGCATACAACTTGATATACATCGGGCATACTCCAGTGCCAGTGTCGAGGCTTTTTGCTCATGGGGGTGAGTGGTCCATGCATTTTCAACTCCACCCTGAGCTTTGGCTCCTTGCCAATGAAGTGAACGGGAAGGAGCTTTGGGGCACGAGTTCCGGTTGCTGGGTGGGGTGGCACCCTTGCCACATGGCGAAGGATCCGTAGAGCGAGGCCTAGGTTTGCTACGAGACCCCGATGCCAAAAACTGCTATGCTTTCAGGGGCAGATTCCCCCGTTATTTGGGGTCTCGAATTCTTTTCCTTGGGGGTCTCAGTGGGCAAAGAAATGGTTAGCCCTCCAAACTGGTGGCGTTTAGGAATGTTTAATAATGTTTATGTGGAGAGGAACCAAGGGGATAGTAACAATTTGCTGAACTGTTCATGTCCCTCACCTTTCCGAGAATCGCGTGGCAAAGAAGGCCTCTGCCGGAACCTCCGGCGAACGAACCTGTTGAACCGAAGTCACCGAAGATGTGATCCCCGGGTCCAGAGGACTAACCACTGTTTGTGGGTCAGGGTCTGTGGAACTCGTGGAAGCACGCGCAGAAATCCGCGCCCCTGAGAGTCGTTGGACTACAAAAGAGTCTTAAAAATTGTCTATTTAGTTTTTCCAGAATTAAGTGCAATTAAGTGTAATTACAGTACTTCTAATAGCTTTTTGTTACTACTAGTAAGGCACTTGTTACTAGAAGCGATGCACTTGTTACTAGTAGAATAGATTTTAGGGTAGCTGAGTTCTGGAACTTCCTTTACTTCACCGGGGCGAAATGTAGGTTTTTTTTTGACTTCTAGGATGGGTTTCTATTATTCAGATAAATTTTACATTTATATACTACATTGTTACTACATACCTACTTTGATTTGCCCCAGAACACTGGCCTGCCTGAGCTTTGCCCCAGCTTGAGCCACCAAGGCAACCTCTTCCCGAAGCACGTGGGACTTATCACAGCTTCACTCGTTGGATGTTTTGATGCATCTTCTGCGGTCTTTGCGACCCTGGCGCTGCTTGGAAGAGAACGCTATGTGGGGGGCCAGGTTTTCGATGTAAGATTCAACATGATCCCACCTGAAAAATGTCCTATGTGGACCCTCACTCAAGTCCGTGTCAGCCATGTGTCCATCTTTCTCTTCATGTCCACTTTCTCCCCGGAACACTTTCTCCGCCAAGGCACTTCATGACCGATGGGATGTCCTTCAGTTCTACGGCTCAAGGAACATGATGTCCCTGCGTGGTTGGCCGAGGGCGGACGCTTCAAGATGGTAGAGAGAGAGAGAGAGAGAGAAGAAGTGAGAAGAACCTGATCCCCCATCAGTTCTTTCGGATTCATCCCCCAAGAGCTACGCTTGAGGCATACGCTTGAGGCCTGCTTTTCTTTGTGGATGGGGAGTCACATGGAGTTGGGTGCTTCTTAGTCCCATCCAGTGAGTGGATGTGACAAGGGCACCTAACCTCCATGGATCGCACCCCCCTCTTGTGACTGCTGGTATAAATATAATTCTATACGAATTATATCGAATTATACATCTTGCGTTGCTGTGCGTGGCTGTTGCGGTGATCTTGCAAGTCCCACTCACTTCCACGTTGCACATGTTTTCAGACGATCTGAGGTGAGACATTTCACCTCTACATGGTGATCCCTGCACTCTGCGCTTTGATGGCAGCCCGTTGGCCCACAATGCCTGTTGAATTGCCCGAGGAGGACACGACATACTTGTTCGCGTCACTTCGCAAACATCGCCGCGCCATGGCCGCCGCCAAACGTGGCACCGGGTTCAACGTGTTTTGCTGCTGAGTTGGATCGCCTCCCGCCTCACCAAAGGCATGTACAATGGAGACGTACATGGAGATGTCTGTACATGATACATGGAGGTTAAAGGTTACTCTATGATACACTCCATGTATGCCATATATGCCTACATTGACCTCCCAAACCACCCCAATGTAGGCATATCTGGCATACATGGAGTGTCTGGGTATATTTCTTGCACCCAACAAGCCAAGATTATTAATGTATACTTCACCCCTCCCAGCTGATACCCATTTTGGAGTTTCAGATTGAGAGTTTCAGATTGAGCTGCGTCCAATTGCGCAACATGACATGCAACAGGTCTATTTGTAAGGTCACCTTCCAGCCCCCGCTTGGGTAGTTTGAGATTCAGAACTCGCTGCAGGACGTAAGCCTTGATGAGCTCTCGGGCCGAAGCTTGCAAAACATCTGCTGGAGCGTCGACTTCTTGTTGCTTTCATATACTGCCGCATGCCTGTCTTTGACCGACCTTTTTATTTGCGGATTCTAGTGGCACGAGGTATGTGAAGATTGATTATGTGTCCTTTTGGGTCAGGTATGGCCAGGTACCAGGTATAACCTCATCTCTGGATCTAAGAGGGGAACTCTGTAGTAGTTGCTTCATCAGATGCTGTTTTTAGCAGTTGTTTACACAAAGATTGAAACGGCTTCCAATACATGTTTAGTGGGATCTACTTTTCTATTTATTCGGACATGTGGGATTCTTTGAGATCGCGAATCTCCGATCTCGAATCTCGGATCTTGTCAAGTGTGGATTCTTGTCTTCTTTTTGTTTGGGGGGGGGTGGCTTTCCCTGTGGCTGCCAACGGTTCAAAGCACGGTCCCAATGTGAAACCGCCATCTCTGACCGTGGAGAGCACTGGACGGGCAAGGTGCGCACTGAAGGACGGCCACATCAAACCCTAGGGATCCAGAGACCTTCTCCTCGGTACGACTGGACCCTCCGTTCGAACAGGCGACGTGTTTGCAACCACCGTACCTCAGAGGGTGGCAGTGGATCCATAAGTAGATCCAAGCGGTACCGTGAAGAAACTCGGATGCGGCTTGCCGTGCCCTTCGCAAATTATACAAATACCATCAAATACCACCACTCGCGCCAGATCTCGCGTGAAACGCGTCTGACATATGCACGACGCACAGGTCGATACATAACAAACACAGTCTCAGACTGTCTCAAAAGTCGCACACCGGAATCTCCCACGACTCCAGCGTGCGGTTGGCACCGCGTGCAAGCAAATTTGCCACAAGTTCATACCCTTCGGGACGAACAAAGGGAAACGCATGGTCGATGCATCCCTGAGGAAGGACACGTCCGCAGCTACGTGGCCTGGTTGAGTTAAAAGACCCAGGAAAAGCCTGTACACAAGGGTTTTTCGAAAGTATGAGCATGGTTTTCCGAATCAAGTTGGTCACTTCACGAAACGTAAGGAGCTCACAGTCCGCCTTTATTCTGGCACCACTCGCATGAAAAATGGCAGCAAGTTCGCAGAATGAGAAAGAGGTGTCAGGATCCTCTTTCCATCTCAACCCACGAAGGAACTCGCAGATGCTATTCCAGTTTTCTGGATGGCTCTTCCACGTCTCCGGACACGGAAGGTTCAGTGGTATTTTGGGTTTCCACTTGAAGCTCGCAGCAGAGGCATCCCACGGCCACTGGGGATACCGAAGTCTGCATTGCGCCGATGTCAGCTTATCAGGCAGCTCTTGGACATTACGAACATTGGATTCTTCCGATGCATGTGTGGGCAAACTGGCATGCACCCCCACCAGCCATTGCTGATGTGACCTGATGGCTTCAATGAGCTTTGGTTTGAATTGCGGGTCGATTGGAGCAATGGAAACGGCAAACTCTCGAGCAGCTCGGTCGACAAGCCGGTTGTTGGCAATGTGTTGCAAAGTTGTGTTCACACATCGCGCCATATCCTCAGTCACGAGCTCAATAGGGATATGGTCGTACTGATGAGCAGGGATCCACTCAATGTTGAACGGTCGGGATGTTTCAGCAGATCTATTGGCAACAACATCAGCAAGAAAAATCCACCAATGAAAACACCGCCACATCGGATCTGGCCTCTCGCCATCAAACACTGCATTTGCCTGTTTCACAACTGCCAAACAATCACTGTAAATAGCAAGCCTCGTTGTGGCAGCGGAGCAAGCTACCAATACTGCCCATAGCTCTGTCGTATAAGCGGATAAGGACAGATGGTTGACCTGCCCTTTGTGAATGATCGTTTGGTCCTCATTCAGGACGGCATAAGTTCCGGCGGCCAGCCAAATATTATCACCAAAAACAAGGGAGCCGTCCGTCCAGACCTTTTCGATCTCGGTGGGACAGAACTGCTCAGCAAGAGGGAGACTACCAGCTTGTAGCTGCAGCATTCGTCGCCGGACAACAAATGTGGGTTGATGTACATGTCCAAGTAATGCAAAATTGCTCCCAACTTCATGAATGGTAGGCACCCCAACACTGTCGCGTAGATGGGCACACTGATGCACCAAGTGTGCCATGGATTCTCTGTCAGCCCCGCAAAACCGGCAAGCGGGGTTGTCAGTCCAGCCAGTCGCAGCCATTCTATCATTGGTCAAGCAGCAGCCAACCAACACTGATTCCAACCGTTGGTGATTGGAAATGTCATCATTACCAAAGACCTTAGCTGTCCGAAAGAACGATGTTGTTAGGGCATGGTCGAAAACTTGAACAGTCTTAACAAAGTCCTTTCGAGGGGTAGACCCTGCAAGTCTATAACAGGCATCACGTGCAATTGCTTGCAGAATACGGCAGGAATCTTGTGGTGTCAGGTCTTGCAAGGAAATTGGTTGAGAATCACAAAAGGACAAGCACAAATCATTTGTCACCCAAATTTTGTAACACCTCGCACGCTTGATTAAATCGGCTGGCAAGGGAGTGGGGCAAATGTTGGCCCGCTCGATGCGTCAAGAGCAGCTTCGAGAAAATGGCAGGGTCAGAGTGGCACGATCTGATGACCTCAAAGATGGTGCTAAAGGCACACGCTGTTCTAGGATCAGTTCTATGAGGTTTCCCAAAGACAGCCTGGACCAACCATTTGGATCTCCACTTAGGCCGGCGTCCCCAAATGCAACGAGAAATGGCATTTTGGATCACATCAAGCTTTGTTTTAGGGATGCGGGAAACGTGGGAACCAAAGGTCAACCTGGGAATGACCTTGGAACCAATCAGAAACACACGTGTCGCCATCGTGACAGGCAAAGCACCAATGTTTTCAATGTCCGTGAGAACTCTCTTGAGGGACCCATCAGTGAAACCAAACGCACACCTGGATGACGTATAGATGCGTGTTCCAAGGGTTTCAAACTCAAGCGTCACAGGGAAATCGGCGAAAGCATCCTTCAACGCGCTCCTGCCCGTGGGGGTGTTGCTCCACATGCTCGACTTATATAGAAACATTAAGCTTTTGGCCTGCTAGTTCATCCCAGACCTGTGTCACTTGAATTGCCGTGCGAAGAGACTGAATGTTAGCCAAGCGGCACCAAAGATAACTATCATCGATGTACGCCCGAATGACAAGGCCCGGCAAATGTTCAAGCAGGTGGTACCATACCTTATTATAGGCATTCATAGCTAATATGGAAAAAGAACAGCCCTGGGCCACTCCGTTTGCATGGGTCGTGGAGACGGGAGAGGTCCAGTTCCTATATGCAAGATGCTTACGTAGGTGTTGGTACACTTTCAAGAACACTTTGACAACCTTCTGCGGGATGCCAAAAGCAATGAAGAGACATCCAGCAAATTGTGGGATGATTCTGTCAAACGCCTTTGACTTGTCAAGTTTTACACCGACAACAGACTCATTTTCTAAATTGGCAACATCAAGGTCAAGGCGCACATCATTGTAGAGGGAGGACATGAAGCGTCCTTTGACCCCACCAACGATGCCAGCCGGCATGGCTTGGGCTTGCCAGCATTGGAGCTGAGCAAATCTAGCACCAGTATAGGCTAATAGGAGCGGTGGGAGCACAGTAATGAGACGCTTATTGATGGGTGAAGCCAAACCAGGCTTGTTGAGGATTACTTGCTTAGCAGTCGTGAGGGCTTTGGGCATCGGCTGTTCAGTGTCTTCAAGGATCTGAAAGGACATGGCAAGCACATCAAAACATCGTTTGGGTAATGCTTGGAGTTCAACAGTCCTCCATCCATCAAGGCCTGGGGCCGCATTAGATTTTCGTTTTTGGACAATCTGGTACAAAGCATCCCCAGAAATTGGTGGAAGAGTGATTTCAACCTGTTTATCAGAGATGTACGGCCAGACCGTTTCCAGCATCTTAATGGGGTGGTCAGCGAGAACATTAGAGGCAAAGATGTCATCCCATTTGTTGTTGATCTCAGCAATGGCCTCCTCAGGCTGGGTGAGGATTTGGCCCTGATCATTTTGCACCAAATTGGGGGGCTCATCACTAGCCTTATTACGAAGGTGTTGGAAAATATAAGAATAGCCATGTTGCTCAGAATTCTTAATCTTGTCCTTCCAACTACGGATGCGTTTGAGACGAATACGGCCATCAAGCGTCATAGCAAAGCTCTCAGCCCACCTCCTAGACCAATGGATCTCAACAAGTGACGGATGGAACGGATCATCCCACACGATCGAGGAGTTGAGCTTTGTCAAAGCACGATTGGTGCGAATTGCCAACTGTCTGGTGTTGAAAACATCTTGCGGGGAACCCGGGGACCTGGAAAGCCTCTTCATGAGTTCTTCCAACCGGTTAATGAGCTTATAAGCTTCAAGCGAAATCTTGGTAGCAGCACATCGGGTCCGAAGCTGAGTAGGGCAGATCTGCTTATGGCAAAACACAGGTTCACCCGCTCTATGCCTTGGTCCATTCCCCCATTCGGCACCCCTTGAAAAGAGTACTTCTTGGAAATAACGGTTAATTGTTTGCCATTTATCATCAATATCCACTTGTTCCTGAAAGGGACCAGAAAACTGGTCATCCCAGATTCCTGAATCATCCTGACATGATTCAGGCTCAGGCACCTTGGAAATGTTAATTGGGGCAAACTTCACGTGGAAACCCGAACTGCTCAATGGACGGCCACTCGAAAGTCACTTGGATCGGTCGATGCTGTCGCCCGAAATGGTTTAGGACAGAGGCTTCCCGAACCGCACAAAAAGCGACATTGTTAACAAGGACACCGTCGATAGAAGTGCAACCGTCATCCTCCCCCGAAAAGCAACAATCTTTGGAATAGGTATACGGGCGAGACAAATGTCCAAGTTCATCGACAACATTCAGGGGGTCTTGCCACCCATGAATTTGAATGGCCGCAGACACACAGGTGTAACTGGCTGGGTTTGCCTGAAAATCACCGGCAACTACGATCGGGATTTGTCCGAACTGGGAGGCAATCAAGAACACCTGTTCCAGAAGCTCATCATTGGCAGTGTGGATTCGTTGGTCAGA